CAACGACAAGAAGGTGGAAAGCCCTGTCCCTGCCCAGCACTCCTACTTGGTCTGATACAATGTCACACAAGGGACATGGCTAGTCCTACTTCTGTTAGACTTTGGACTATACCTCGCATCACAGTAGAACTTTTGAATGGCACATAAGGTACCAGTAATAACTATATTAGGTACTCAACATTACATTTAATTCACGGTCATATCAAATTCAAGACCTCACTCCGTTCTCCTTTACGTCTTATAAATAAAATTTGAAACTCTGACTTTAACAAGGGGCTGTCTCCTTACACTGACCCTCGCAGGGTCCTCCATACGCATTTGAGCACACGTTACTTAACTTATTAAGTACATGTTTCTGTATGTTCAAGCTATCCAACAGAATTTTGTCTACATCAAAAGTAAATTAGGATACAGATCACATGTGTTCCACGCAGATATATGGGACATATCATAATTATGATACTAATTAAGTTAAGCCACACACCCCTCGTACATAGAAGCTACTATGGCTGACCAACTGCGACTTATTTAACTGTTTCTCATACTGTATGTTTTGTTCATTCAGGGTGAATTTCACTACTAGTACTTTCAGCGTCTCATCAAAACATAGCATCACAGCATGCCTCTTTCAGCTTACAATATAAGGCCCCTTACGAAGACATATCGATTTCTATACTATGTCATTCAACTTGGCTCCCCTAAATAGCAGGTGTCACAACTGACTGGATCAGTTGATGCCAGGCTTGCAAGCTCTGTAGAGAAACACAATATGCATTATAGATATCTAAATATAGAAGTATATATGTGGGTATATAGTGGGTGGGGGTGTGTGCACGCAGGTATATGTATAAATATATGTGCATGTTCTTGCGTGTATACACACACACTCTGGTTAATTTTATTTCAAACTATTGTACTCACGGTCATGTTGGTAATATGCGCAGAAGTTATCCTCAGTTCCTATTTCATAACTCAAGGTGGGTAGATTATTCTTGCTCACTTATGACATATTTTACGTATCTAGATGTGCCTCGAGCAGATCTTGTCATACATTGTTAGTATCTGAATACTGGTTAATACAATCACAAAGAACTGTAATCTCTTTCGGGTTCCCTTAACTTTGCAATGAGAATTATTCCACAAGGTCAAGCTTTCATATCCTGATAACTTAACTTTCCCACTTTCAGTCCAATAACCTCCATACAGCACTTGACTAACATGCCACCTCCAATTTGCGCACATGGAGAAGGGAAGTATGTTTCACCCCCTTATTACCAACAAGCCCCTTACAATTTGGGCGTGTTGTGGGCAGATAAACTCAGATGTAGCTCAGATAACCTGGACACATGCTATATCATCTAAGCACGTTCGACGTCCCTGACCATGATGCACTTCATGAGAATACTGACTTGGTCAGCTAATAACTACTTTCTTGGTATATGACCATATCCCAGGAATTGACAACTTTGTCACTGATCACTTGTCTTGTCCTCGATTACAAGCTTTTTGCAGAGAGTCTAACTTTTAACCGGTTATGGCTTGAATGTAATATTGTAAACAAGCTTCTAGAGTACAACAGACGATTTTACTTCTTTTTGCCACCTTTACTTAAAATATTTTCACACTACTAAATTATATTTAACTATTTTCTGTCATCTTACAAAATTAAAAACTACTCTAATACAGCCTAGGTACACTGAATACAGGGGGGTAACCCCTAGTGGAAATGAATAATAGACAAAAGAATAGTGTACCTGTAGATTGGGAGAGAATAGCATGTGCCTAAACTTCTTAATAAAAAATTGAAGATATAAGGCACACATAAAAAGACCACAAGGTCCAAAAACAAAAAAAAACAAAAAAAGGAATTTATTAGGTATCAATGGTATCAAAGGGATAAATAGTAACAATGGATACAACAAGAAAACTATAAAGTTAAAAACAAAAAAAGATACAAACTAATTGTTTAGAATCAGTTCTGATGTCTTGAGTAATATAAACACAATCAGCCACAGCACACGTCTGTGCTATTTGGGAAAAATATATGGGTGCTAATGGTATATTGGTAGAAGAATGATAGAGTATAATGTATACTAGGACATTTATCATAATAGAACCTACATAACCTATCAGTAGTCTTAATGATTAGAGTAAAGGAAGTGGTGATAGTGGGATCGGATATAGATAAAAATATCAGTGAATCTATATCATAAGAGATCGAAATTCTAAAAGGCGTGCTAAATAGCAAAAGCAATGGTGACTAGAAATATAACCCTGAGAATACCGTTGGATCAGAAACTCCAACTGAGAAAACTAATTAGGATATTTAAATCGACTGAAATGACTAATGGTAAATATTAACTGGAATAGCTGAGAGAATAAATATGTGCTAATCGATTGTACTAGCTAATCGATAGGAATATGATAGTCAACTGTAATGATTGATTTGCAGTTGAACCAATCAAATGAAAAAATAAATGTATAAATAAAAATAAAACTGTTAAATAATAATATAAAGGGATGAGTGCAAGGTATTCCTATGATAACAGCACACTGTAAATGATTAACTGGAATATCTGAAAAAATAAAAAATAAATATATACTAATCGATTGTACTAGCTAATCGATAGGAGTTAGATAGTCAACTGTAATAATTGATTTGCAGTTGAACCAATCAAATAGAAAAATGAATATAAAAATAAATAAAAATAAAACTTGTTAAATAATAATATAAAGGGATGAGTGCAAGGTATTACTATGCTAACAGCAAACTATAAATGTGTACTTGATACTGCAACTGTTAAATAATAATATAAAGGGATGAGTGCAAGGTATTACTATGCTAACAGCACACTATGAATGAGCATTTGATACTGCAAAGATAAAAACATCCTAAACTATCTACACGATAGGCAGAAACAGGTAGAGGAGTAAACTGACCCTTCGGCTAACCATCCACCCTCGTGCCTTCGAGGGCACCTATGTCTAGCCTGGCTGAAAGAAAAAATCACGGAAAGATTAATCAAAGAAAATAACCTAATATGATAAGAAAAAGCGGCATGTATAAATCCCTAAAGCCCCTGACGAGCTAAGTGGGTGAAACGTGCGCGTCAGGGGCTTTAGGGCTTTATACATGCTGCTTTTTCTTATCATATTAGGTTATTTTCTCTGATGGTCTTTCCGTGATTTTTTTCGGATACTTCCAAATGTCCGAATAGCCGAAGTACTGAATTGCCGAATTACCAAGGTCCCGAAGTTCCGAAATTACTGAATTTCCAAAGTCAAAGTGCCGAAGTTCCGAAGTTGCCGAAGTGCCAAATTGCCGAAGTTCCAGAATGCCGAAGTTCCGAAGCACAGTATTGCCTAAGTACTAATATACTTACCCAGTGGAAGAAGAAGAATGTTACACTGTATGCAATTTTAAATAAAAAGTATAGAAACGTAGCCAGGATTCAGCTGTAAGCATTTGCAACGCAATAGGTCCTTCCCCCATTATTTTACTTTAGGGCCCCCATCCACCGCTCAGGGGTGGGGGTTGGGGGGGGGAGGACAATAGGTCCCCCCATTATTTTACTTTAGGGCCCCCACCCGCCGCTCAGGGGTGGGGGCCGGGGGGAGGACAGTATGCCCCCCCCCCATTATTTTACTTTAGGGCTTCCACCCGCCGCTCAGGGGTGGGGACTGGGGGGGGCAATAGGCCCCCCTTTAGTTTAAAAGCCCCCATTCGCGTGTTGCAGGTGGGGGCTCAGGAGGGGGGACCCTTTTTAAAAAAAAAATATTTTGCTTACAGTGAGCAGTATAGCGAGTAGAGGCACAATTTACAAATACTAAGTAATTTTTACTTAGTATTAGTAAATTTGGCTGAAAGACCAATTTAAGTCTTTCAGCCTTTTGGTAGATAACTCCCTAATACTGTGGGAATTAGGGAGTTATCTACCAAGCGGGTGCAAGAGAAGTTCTGAATTGCTGAGGTCCCGAAGTTCCGAAATTACCAAATTTCCGAAGTGGCGAAGTTCTGAAGTGTCGAAGTGCTGAAGTTGCCGAAAAATGTTCCCATGCACATGCCTACCACCCTCCTCTTCCTTACCTTTGCATTGCAGGAGGGTGGCTGGGGATGATGGACGTCACCTGCCTCTCCTTTCTGTCTTCAGGCTGCATCCTCCTTCTCGCGTGGAGTAAGCTGGGAGGAAGTGACTGGCCGTCAATTCCTCCCAGCAGCACTTGCGTTACGGCTGAATTTTTTTTAAAGGGGCCCGGTTGCGTCGCGCTATTACAGCGCTGACCGGGTACCTGAAGATAAAGGCTTGGGCCACCTGATGGGCCCCATCAGTGTGTGGGCCCAGGTGCAGATGCACCGGCGACAGTTCCGTCGCTCCACATGGGGCCCCCTGACACTGATGGCAGCCCTGAAGATATCTCAAACACACGATACAAGACCACTATATATTATCAGTTATACCAAATCTAGCCAAATCCCCTATCACCCTACCAATAACCAATGCTGCCCAGTAATAATCCTGGAGAACGACCTAACCTCTGTTCAAAGTTCCCCTGATCAACTCCTACTAGCCTTACATGGCAATACTCTAATGTAAATTCAGACTTTATCTCAGGATAATACTGCATAGTCAGATAAGGTAACTAAGCAGGTCACTCCTTCCGCATCGGTGCCGCCACCAATACCTCCAGGAATATAACGGTACATATTATTGGGCCTCTGAGATGATGAAGGTCCTCCGCTTACTCCACATACATACATGAACCTGTTCTTAAATACGCCAAGTCTTCCGTAATATGTGATGTGGAAATCAATCAATAAATTGATTATCTTGCGTATCTGCCCCTGGCCAAAATTAAAGAAATAATGCGTGCACGCGCCTAAAGTAATTCACACCAGACACAGGTTTTGGGTTAATGGAAAACTTGAGGAATGTTTTTTCTGGGAGGGTGGCATGTCCCTTATAAAGATCACATCATAAATGATTACATCATATGCATTATCAGAGATAACATGGAATAATACATCAATAATTGGTTAGGTGTTAAGTGGTTCATTTAGTGCTTTTCCTACCGGGTGTGATGTCACTGGTATCTTGGAGGTCTGCCCCAGATTCCAGCGCCATCTTGTTAATGAGGGTGTTAGTCGATGTTAAAGGGGAAACTCTCTAGCGGCCATTTTAGGAAATCACATAGAAAGTTGAATAATGCTGGTCATAGTTATGTTGAGTAAATAGGCATTTTACTAACATGGATTGGGTTAATCTTTTTGTCCACAACAATATGTATATGTAATATATGGTACATACATGCTTAATTTGTAGGCTGTATAATCCTGTATGGTACATTCTTTTTGCCCTCTTTTATTACAGGCCCACCACATTGTCGGTTCTGGCACACCACAACCAACTTTTTCATATTACTATATGTCTCATATAGGGACCTTACATACCTACTTCTAATATGCTCTCATTACGGCTTTTGATGCCCCGACCACAGATAGATAGATAGATAGATAGATAGATAGATAGATAGATATATGTATATGTGTATATATATATATATATATATATATATATATATATATGTTTTAAGATGGGTGAACAAGGGGATAGCCACCACCAACACATTTCAGAATACATTTTATTCTGCAAAGAGTTAAAAAAAAAAAACACAAGCTAGACTCAGTGTATCCCGGACATCTGATAAATCTCATAAATCTTTTTTCTGGAGTGTAAATCATGCTGAATTTTTAACAATAAGTAACTTACCACCTAACCCATTGTTTATATACCTTATCTAACTCCCCTTGCCATAATCTCTTGTGGTGAAGTTCAAACTAATTAAGACCAAAATAGCCAAGCTGTGTTAAAGATTTTTCACAGATCAGTTATTGTTTTTCTAAATTGTGCAATTTGGTTTTCAATCCACTACCCTTTATTGTTTTGTAACAACGTTTATTTCTTACCCTTTAGTGTCCTGGAAACGATTATTATTATTACTATTATTAGATGATTGCCCCCAATGTACATTTAAAAAAAAGAGAGTTTCACTTGTCTGATTGTCACGAGTACTTAAGGAACTAAATGTAGAAATAAGTGAACTTCTGTTTTTAACCTTTCAAGATTCTTTTCTTTCAGGAAGTGTTCCGGAGGATTGGAAGAAGGCAGATTTGGTTCCTATATTCAAAAAGGGTTCAAAATCATTGCCTGAACATTATAGACCTGTGAGCTTCTGTGGCTCGGAAAATATTTGAAAGGTTATTAAGGGTTCACATTCAAGAATTCCTGGTTATCAGCAAAAATCAGCACGGTTTTATGAAGCACAGGTCATGTCAAACTAACTTGATTGCGTTCTACGAAGAAGTAAGTAGAAGTATAGATCAGGGTGTTGCAGTGGATGTGATCTATTTGGATTTTGCCAAGGCATTTGATACAGTTCCACACAAAAGATTAGTGTTCAAACTCAAGGAAATCAGTCTAGATGAAAATGCTTGTTCCTGGGTAGAACATTGGCTTAAAAACAGAGTACAAAGAGTTGTCATTGATGGTAAATTTTCAAGCTGGACAGAGGTGGCAAGTGGTGTCCCTCAGGGGTCTGTTCTGGGACCCCTTCTATTTAACATGTTTATAAATGATGACACAAAACTCTGTAAAATAATACAATGTGAGCAAGATATTACTTTGCTGCAGAGAGATTTAAATAGACTGGGGGACTGGGCCCTCAAATGGCAGATGATATTTAATGTTGAAAAATGCAAAAAATGAAGTTATGCACTTCGGTGTAAAGAATACACAAGCAACGTATACCCTTAATGGAAGCCAATTAGGGATAACAACACACGAAAAGGACTTGGGAATTGTTATAGACAACAAACTATGCAACAATGTGCAATGTCAATCAGCAGTGGCCAAGTTCAGTAAGGTATTGTCATGCATGAAAAAGGTCATTCATTCTCGGGACGAGAATATCATTTTGACTCTTTATAAATCACTGGTAAGACCACATATTGAATATGCTGTGCAATTTTGGGCACCTGTTCTAAAGAAGGATATTATGGCACTAGAAAAAGTGAAGAGATGGGCTACAAAATTAAAAAAAGGAATGGAACATATCAGCTATGATAAAGGTTAACAAATTTAAACCTATTTAGTTTAGAAAAACGTCGCCTGAGAGGGGATATGATAACATTATACAAATATATTCGGGGCCAATACAAACCAATGTGTGGAAATCTATTCACAAACCGGTCTTTACATAGGACACAAGGTCATCCGTTTAGACTGGAAGAAAGAAGATTTCATCTGAGGCAAAGGAAATGTTTTTTTACTGTAAGAACAATAAGGATGTGGAATTCTCTACCTGAAGAAGTGGTTTTATCAGAGTCCATACAGATGTTCAAACAGCTACTAGATGCATACTTGAAAAAACAGAATATTCAAGGATATAATCTTTCAATGTAGGGTAATAACTGCTTGATCCAAAGATAAATCTAGCTTGTTGCAAAATTGTGCCTCAAACTGGATTTTTTGCCTTATCTTGGATCAACAGCAAAAAACAAATGTGAGGAAGGCTGAACTTGATGGACGCAAGTCTCTTTTCAGCTATGTAACTATGTAACTATGATTTACCCTGTTTTATTTTACTGTGCTGCACCAATCATCATCTCCTCGCAGAGATACATTGCAGATCATGAATACACTAAGCCTAAGCCCTGGACAAGTCCCTCTAGTAGCTGTTGGCGTGACATCCACTAGAGGTTAGACTTGGACTTCAGTTTTTAGATATATGTGAATAAACCCAAATTTTGTGCAATTAGTTATTTTGTACAAATCAATTGTAATTTGCACAAATTTACAAAAAAACTAAGTGATTGTGGTAGTCCGTGCACTATTTCTCCCCTCTCTGGTGGCTTGAGATCCCAAAGACACTCCCCTCCAAAGAAAATCCATATACACACCCCTCACATTAATAAAAATGAGGGAGGCCCAATAAACAAAGTTCCTGTTAAGAAAAAAATGATACTTACCCTCAGATGTCTTCTTTTTCATAATGTTTTTTTTCTCCAGCCTCAAATAAAAAACCAGCCCCTACATTGGTTTCCAGTTTGATATAGGGCTCAATTTAAGATTCTCGTGCTTGCTTACAAATCCCTATATAATGCTGCTCCAACCTACCTATCCTCCCTAATACACAAGTATGTCCCGTTGAGACCCCTGCGCTCTGCCAAAGACCTACATCTATCCTCTGTCAGTACTCCCACATCTGATGCTTGCCTCCAAGACTTCTCCAGGGCTGCACATGTTCTGTGGAACACCATTACCTTCTCCATTAGACTTTCACCCAGTCTCCACTCCTTCAAAATATATTTGAACACACACTTCATTCACCCACTCCACCCTCATTACTCAAAAATAGTTCTCAGTGAATACTTTTCTAGCAACATATTTCATTACCCTTACTTATACCATTTGTATGGCAAACTGTGTCGGGTCCTGCGGGGTTCTGCATCACCGACCAAGGACCCAACACCAGGAGGGGGCCCAGTGGCTTGTTCAATATGCCGCCGGGTGAGATGCCCCTCCTGCGCCCATAGCAGACACCGATCTGCAGTTCCGCAGTATGCAGAGCTGCAGACCATGTGTCTTGCGAGATCTGACCAATCAGAGCGTTGCCACAGATTACCATGGCAACGCTCTGACTGGGTCTTGTGAGATTCATGGTCTGCAGCTCTGCCTCCCTCTCACCATCACCCCTCCTCCCTTTCACCATCAACCCCCTCCTACCTCACACCATTACCAAGTCTCCTTCTCACCATCCCCCCCCCACCATTACCCCCTCTCCCATCACCCCCTCTCCCTCTCATAATCAACCCCCCTTCCTCTCACATCACACCCCTCCCTCTCACCACCAACCCCCCCCCCCCCCCCACACCATCACCCCCCCTCTCCCTCTCAATTTTTCAGTTTTTGGCACATCCCACATATGACTACTATGTGGAAAGATTAAAGATGTACTCATTAGAAGCATTAAAACGTAACAAGAAACAAGATGTATAATCAGTTGGACTATGTTTTATTTTGGCATGGCCTGCTTAAACTATTCATTTTGAAGTTCAGTATTTAGATGTCTAAGAAGCCCCCAATTTGTAACAAGTATATTATGATATAATTTTAATACACACACATGTTGTGGGGTTATCTAAACAGCATTGTTGCTTTAACTTTTCTGACACCTATTCATTCCATTTGATGTGCCTTCTGTTAGTGAGGTTCATAAAACAGTGTATTAGAAACTGCTACATCGTGTGTGAATAAATGGTAAAGCAAAAGCAATCAAAACAAAAAATGTAACATGTCTGTGTCAATGGTGAACTACAAAGAAACATGAAAAATGCTTTACTCCCATCTTTGTGTCATTTTGAATGCAGGGAGAGTTCCATTCCGAGAACATTGTAGCCGTGTAAAAACAGTAAACTCATTGTAAGTACATCTCCATCCTTAACCTTAACCTTGTGATCTTGTAACTTCTTGTGGTCTTCTGGATACAGAGCTGGTCGTTCAGTTTGCTACAATATATGAAAATATGATATGAAAATTTGCTGTTCTTGCTAGAAGTAACAAAAACATAAAGTTCTGTAACTGTTTTAAAGTGACACCCCAGTCACCAAAACCACTATATTTTAATGCAGTGGTTTTAGTGCATAGACCCTGTCCCTATTCTTTGGCAGTGTAACATATTGTCGTTTACAAGCACATTTTCCTTTGTCAGAGAACTGACAGTCATTTGAATCTTTGAAGCTCTTCCTCAAAAAGTTAAGGTATTTACTTTGATCATTATCGCACACAGCGAAATTATGTTGAACACTGTAAATGTTTTTACAGTGAAAAAATGTGAAAGGTTGTGATGTACGGTTTTATTTACCGTATTGTAGGAAGCAAATGACCTAAAATCCATCACAAACAGTGCATGAAAAAGCAATAAATGATAAAAGCACATCATGATATTACATTACATAATTAAAGTAATACAAAATAGCTGAGTGATATTATAAAACCTTTTCCATAATAAGGAACACGATACCAAGTATAAAGAGTTTTTCGTAAAGAATAATAATCCAGTAATAAAAGGTTCTATTAACTAAAGTGAATAACGAGCAATATACCCACAGTGGCAAAACAAAGTCGCTGGAGTTAAAAGGCTCCTTTTACATTTAATTGTTTTTTTTAATGTTCAAAAATGGTTCAAATGTACCACAGCCTGAAATGAATGCATAAATCAG